AGCTCCAAGATCACATAAGCATCTGCTGAAAGATAGGGGGCCTAGTGAGCAGGGTAGTGTGAAAGATCCAGGATCTTTAAGCTTCAAGGGAGTGATCTTCTTCTGGATAATGGCACTGCATTCATGACTCAATATCACCATTCCCTGGACTTCTTTTGTTCTCTCCATAACCAAATCTTTGAGGAACTTCTGATAAGGAGGGACAAGTGCGAATGCATCCAGCAATGGCATTCTCAACTCAATCTCTCTCAATTGCTTTTCAAATAAAGCCTTATACTTCTCAGCTTGCTGCTTTTTGAATCGTCCTGGAAATGGTAGAGGTGGTTTGTATGGTGGGGGAACGTATCGCGCAGGCTTATCCTTGGATGCTGCAGGTGTTTCAGCATGTTTCTCAGCAGGTTGAGGAACTTCTTCAGGTACGACTCCTGATTCTTCCAAAGGAACAACCGGATCTTCATTCTGACATACATCCTCCCCTTCCAAGTCTTCACTGTCCTCAGTGACTACAACAGGTCCTTGTCTGGGAGGCAAGTTTTTACCGCTCCTCAGCGTGATGGCATGAGCAAACTCCTTAGGATTCTGAACAGCTTTTCCTGGGAGTTGACCCGGCTTTGGGGCAGAAGTAGAAGCAGTTTTACCCTCCATATACTTGATCTTGGAATTCAGAGTCTCAATCTTCATGTTCAGATCATTGTATGAGCAGTCCAATCTCTGAGTCAGCTCAGCAAACTTCTTAGCATTGTCCATGGAGCCACTTGCTTGTCCCTGTAGGAGTTGCTGAAGCATGTTTTTCATGTCTTGATCTGGTGCCTGAGGAGGCGGAGCATGTTGAGGTTGGAATCCTGGTGGTGGTCCTGCTGGAGGTTGGTAACCTTGCTGAAATTGTTGTTTGGGCACATAACCTTGGTTGTAGGGCACAAATGGTTTGTTCTGCCCCTGCTGCTGCTGTTGTGGAGGTGGATAAACCTGATCCTGGGGGTTTGCAACATTGGTGCTCCGATAGGACAGATTTGGATTCTGCTTATAAGGATTGTATCCCTTATTGTATCCACCTTGGTTCTGGACATAGCTTATCTCCTCAGATTGTTCTCCCTCCCCATTCAGAGTCTGGAAAGGGTCGTCTTCAGAGACGTAATGGATGTTCCTCTGCTGGCTCATCAATAGCTTGTCCAACTTGTCATTCACAACCTTCATCTCCTTCTTGTACTTCTCATCAAGATCTGTGCTTGCCCTGATGGTTCTATCATAATCGTCATTGTAGTTGCCATCAGATTGGGATAGGTTTTCAACAAGCTCCCAACCTTCGTCAACGTCCTTGTTCAGAAAGTTGCCATTGCTGGCAGTGTCAAGCAACATCCGGATCTTTGGGAGAACACCCCGGTAAAGAGTACTGAGGAGAGACTCCTTGGTGAAACCATGGTGGGGACACTGAGACTGATAACTTTTGAAGCGTTCCCAGGCTTCACAAAGCGTTTCACCATTCTTCTGAGTGAACCCAGAGATCTCATTGCGCAGACGTGCAGTTCTAGAGTTGGAGAAAAACTTGGCAAGAAACGACTGCTTGCATTGATCCCAGGAAGTGATAGATCCTGGAGGAAGAGTTTTCTCCCATTGATGAGCTTTGTCACCCAAAGAGAATGGAAAGAGACGTAGCTTGAAACCGTCCTCACTGACCCCATTGATCTTGGTGAGACTGCAGAGACGATCAAACTCATCAAGGTGATCCAGGGGGTCTTCCATAGGCAGACCATGAAATTTATTCTGCTGGACCATGGAGATCAGACCACTCTTGATCTCAAAGTTGTTGTTCGCCACGGCTGGAGGCACTATACCCTGACGATGGGTATGGTTGCGTGGAGCATCACCAGCTCCAATCCGTGTAGGTGCCCGTGGTGGTTGTGGTGGTGGAATGTTTTCCATCTCCACTTGGGGTGGTGTAACTCTGTTGCGTTGCTGTCGTGATGCAGGTACCAAGCGATCAATACGGTCGGAGGGCTGGAACAAGTTCTCTGTGCCTTGCGACCGTGTGTGCATACAACTCAAATCAGCTTATCTTTCTTATCGGTTGAGTGTGTCAGTCGAGTAGGAGCAGTTGAGCAAGAGTTGTACCTGAATCAATAGACAAACAGAAGGAACAGAGTGAGTAACTGTAGTGAATGTTGAGTAAAAACTTGATCTTAGCAAGTCTGAAATCTCAAATGTAACACACAAACACCCAAATGGCAGCGGCGCCAAATTGATACTAGGATTTTTCTATCAATTACCCTAGAGTACTATCATGTCATTGCAGTACAATAGGTATCAATCCAATCAGGTGTGATGCTAGCAATCAAGATATATCAGAAATGATTAAGTCAAGAAAGCATAAATGATTTTTGGTTTTCAATGATCCTAAACGAACATGTTAAACATGCGATAAATGTAAAGCTGTAAAACATAGACTACCATGCATAAACTAAAACGTAACGATTATTGATACTGGCAAGAAAACAAAGCAGACTAAGTAAATAACAAGAGAATTAAACAGAAAGCACAAATGGATAGAAGATCCCGAGGATGAGGTTATTGATGTAGGTGGAGTATGCTAATCTACTTCGAGTGTTTATCAAACTGCAAACATTCTAATCCCTAGACAATGAACTTCTAATACTAGTCAATCCAATCTCTTGGCAGAAACTATCAAGTTTACAACACTTCCTAATCTCAATTCTCATTGATGAAACATGCAGTAAACAGGCATAAAGAAACAGCTCATTAATGTCAATAAACATCTTAGACAACCAATCTCTTGGGCTAAGCATGTAAATCTCTGGCACTAGTTGGTTCAGACATTTCATCATATACCTTTCGGGTATGAAATGTCCATGACCCAGTTCCAATTGATCAGAGAAGAACTAGCTAATAAAACTCTAGTCCAGAAGGGAAACAAACGAATCTAACATAAACACTCTAGCAAACTAACATCCTCCACCTAATCTATCCCATCCTCAAGAACCCTAACACTACTCAGACGCAGAAATCATGTTAAACATCATGAAACAAGAATCGTTCAAAACATGCATAATAATAAGGATGATAGGAAGAGTAACAACAATGATTTCAGAACTAGTTGCAAAATCTCAATAACTCAAAAGAAATATGAATTACAATTTTCTGGATTGTTTGGTGGCTAACAACAAAAACCTAATAAAAAACTCGATATCCCTTGGGCAATCCAAATGAAGCCTATTTATAACAATGTTTGGGAAAACCTTAAAACATAAAACGACAACGTAAAAGCGGTTCAAAGGTTGTTTTGACTAAGTTGGTCGAGTGAGCACCTCGAGTGACCATCTTCTCTGCTTTCTCGATCGTGTCACTCGAGTGAGTGGGTCGAGTGACCTGTAAAACCATCAGCTACTTCTTTGCTTTGCTCGATCATGTCACTCGAGTGAGTGCATCGAGTGACAGGTAGTTCTGCTTCGCTTCCCTTCTGCTCGATCTGCCACTCGATCGTATACGTCTGCTGCTCACTCGAACGTCAATGTAACTGCAACGCATCCATGCTTCTCACTCGATCGTCCCACTCGATCGTGTGCATGTCGAGTAACGCTTGTTCCTCTGCTTCGCCCTGCATGTCTCCTAAGTACCTGAAACACTCCAAATATGGACAATGTATGCAAGATATGCATGATATGCATGATATGCATAAAACCTACCTAAGTATGTAAAACATGCAGAAAGGGATCAATATGATGCGAATCAACAAGTGAATGATGCTGAATAGATGATGAATGCATACTCAAAAAGCAATGAAATACAGACTTATCATCCACTATGATAATAAAGATGATTTTGATCATGACAAAAATGATCTTATGGCATATGAGACTCCCGATTGCTTAGAATAACCAATATAATTTCGACATCAAGATTCTCATGATTGTTTTTATGATTGCCTTCATGATTGCTTTTAAAGTTTTATTGCTTTGAATTTATTCTCTATTATTGCTTTGAATTTTTTTGATATTGTTTTGAACTTAATAAATTAGAGGATCTTTTATTTAAATATTGAATATATGATTATTATTTTTGAAACTAAGGGCGAAAGAAATAAAGAGTTCCTAATAATATTTGAAAACGGCCAAGATCATAAAAAAGTATAAATGGTCATAAGAAAGTATTAAAGGCCATGAGAAAGTATTAAAAGTCATAAGAAAATATAAAAGGTCATAAGAAAGTATTAAAGGCATTTACTGTGCTAAGGCTAATATGATAGAAGCTAATGCCACGGGAAACAAAGAGATTACCGAGAGATTCACTCTTTGGCACGATCGGCTTGGCCATCCCGGATCGAGTGTAATGCGAAAATTGATATTAAATACAAATGGACACACATTGAAAGAAAGTAGAGTTATCCCAAAGAATCTCACTTGTGTAGCATGTTCACAAGGGAAACTCATGAAAAGGCCATCACCAGTCAAAGTGATTAAAGACTATACGTCTAGATAATGTTGGTGAACTTACGTCCTAAGTTTCTAATGCTTATTGTATGTCCATGGGGGTAAGTGTAGAACATTTTGTGGCACATGTACATACACAAAACGGTCTGCCTGAATCATTTATAAAACGCATACAGCTAATTGCTAGACCATTGTTTCTGAGATCAAAACTCCCAATCTCAGCTTGGGGACATGTTGTCTTACATGCAGCTGAATTTATTCGCATCAGGTCATCTAATGAAAATAAATATTCCCCAAAACAATTACTTAAGGGTCATGACCCAGACATTTTCCATTTTAAGACATTTGGATGTGCCGTATATATACCAATTGAGCTCCACCACAAAGAACTAAGATGGATACTCAAAAGAGGATGGGGATATATATTGGATATGAATATTCCATAATAAATAAGTAGCTTGAGCCGACCACGGTTGATTTATTCAAGGCCAAGTACGAGTATTGTCATTTTGATGAAACCAATAACCCACCATTAAGGGGAGATAATAATAAGCTGGTAAAGGAAATTACATAGAATCAATCATCCTTATTATGGACTATGAAATTTGAATTAGAAGTCCAAAAGCTAATACAAAAGCTAGCTAATCAATTGCCAGATTTCTTTGCTGACCCGAATAGAGTGATTAAGTCACATATACTATTTATAAATGCACCAATACATATTGATGTTTAGGAAGGACACAATCAAGTTGCTACAGAGTCTAAGGCACGTATGAAACGTGGTAGACCAATAGGTTCCAAAGATAAGAACCCTCGAAAAATAAAGAGGTGCTAAGAATGAATCCGAGGTTGAGAAAACTGTGGTTACCCGAGGCATAACCGAACCTCAGATACCTAACAATGAGGCTTGGGACGCCAAGTTTCAAGGTACTGATGAAGTTCTTGATAATAATGAGATCACGATCAATTATGTTATGTCCAGGATAAAATGGAACCGAAAGAATGTCGACATTGATAATATATTGCATGCAAGGTAGCACTAAAAATTAATGAAATAAGCGAGGATCTAAAACCCACGTCCATATTAGAGTGCACTCGACGATCAGATTGGATTAAATGGAAAGAAGCTATAAATGTGGAGTTGAATTCATTAAAGAAGAGGAATGTATTTAGTCCAATAATCCGGACACCTCTTGATATTAAACCAGTTGGACATAAATAGGTCTTTGTGAAAAAAATGAACATGGAAAAATTTAGAGATATAAAGCACGGCTTATGAGGAGATATACTCCCCTGTGGTGGATGCTAAGACATTTAAATTTTTGCTAAGTCTGGCTATATAAAAGAGAAAAAATCGATTTGCGGCTAATGGATGTAATGCCTGCATATTTATATAAGTCCACTGGATAATATATGAAATTACCAGAGGGTATTGAGCTCAAAGATAAGAAAGGTTCTCGATAACAGCAGTGCATAAGGCTGGACAAATCCTTTCATGGACTTAGACTAAGTGGGCGTATGTAAGGTTATAAATAATCACATCAGTCCATGTACATTCATAAACAGGTTTGCAAACAAAAGATTTGTAATCATAGCAGTGTATATGAATGATTTAAACCTCTAGGTAATCGACCAAACAGTTGAATATATCTAAACAAAGATTATGAAATGAAAGACCTAGGCAATAATTAAGTTCTGTTACGGATTACTACTTGAGTACGTGAATAATGGAATCCTTTTGCATCAAATGGCATATACTGAAAGAATACTCATGGAGATTTAATAAGAACCGGGCCCGCCCATTGACCAGGCCCAATGGTGGGTGAGAAGCCTCATATTGGATAGTGATCCATTCAGTCCGTAAATGCCATATCTCAATGCCATAGGAGTTCTAAAGAATTTGGCTAGACACACTAGACCAAACATTTGTTTTACCGTGAGTCTCCTGTCTAAATCTAGTTCATGATCAACCCAAAGGCACTGGAAAGGTTTAAAAGAAGGTTTGGTAAAGTTATAAAGTCTATTCTTCCTGCGTTGTTTACTTGGGTTTTACTCTATACTGATCTAACCAAAGTAGGTCCAGTTTGCTTTGGTTTAGTTTGATTGACTGATGCAGGTTATTCATAAGATCAGATCATGGCATGGTCAATGAATAGGAACTACTTGTGGTTTGATCCCTTCCAAGGGTACGTAGGCAGCCTTCTTTAAGGCGCATCTACTACTAAATCAAAGACCATCATATTTGAAGACAACGCAACTTAAAGCCGAAGAGTTCCAAGTGGAACAAGTTCAATCATG